CTCACTCAGGGGAATATTGTAGCATGTTTTCTTGTCATCAACATTGTAATACTTTATAGCATGTTTTACATTGTATAAGCATTGTTTCCTTTTTTAACATCACCTTGTGGATTTGATAAGAAATATTGTGTCATGTGAGAATGAAACGTGTTCATCTGATTTAAACATGCAGCCCCCAATTCTGGAGCTAACAGGTGGCTTCAAGCAGGGCCCTGAGCTGAGTCTTGTGTCTCCAATTTACCCTGGGCTGTGCAATCTGCCAGTGGCAAGATCTTTCAGGGCTGGCGAGCTGTGCCCTCTCTACTGTGGATGTCACGGGGCTGAGGAGAAGAAATCAATTTTCATCAAGAAACATTTTCACGCTGGGAGTCATGCTGGGAGTGCCCTTGATAACTGACTCAGAGTTTCAGGCAGACAACCTTGTGTGTTTGTGAAACAAACATCAATCCACCCAGACAGCAGAGCTGGTTGTAAATTCTTTGGGCATTACTGGAAGGTTTCTGGCTTCCTCTGTAGGGGATCTGAGCTGTGTCTAGAGCAGACCTCCTGAGAACTGGTTCTTCTCCCAAATTAATTAAAAATCTCTGAAGGTGGTTCCGGACACTGGTATATTTTAAACTCCTTAGGTGGGTTTAATGGACAGCAGGGTTAGGAGCTCTTGGTTTTGGAGGGGCAGGGGTGCCTGACTCTGAGAGGTGGCGCATCTCTCCCTCCTCCCGTGCCCACGACAGTAGCCTGTGGCATGCCCCATGCCTCAGTCACTGCCCTGTGGGAGGGCTCGGAATGCTGAGGCCATCCGTGATGAACTGTCAGCTTCCTAAAGGAGTGTTAAGTCTCCCTCCGGTAGCTACTGTCATTTACTGGTAGCAACTTCCTGTTTCCAGATGGAAGTTACTCAGTCTTCTCAAGTACTCTGTTGAGCCTGCTTGCCAATTTCCCAGGAACATCAGATTCTGCCTCTGTGAAATGATCACGGCAGGGAGCCCTTGGGGACCACAGTGGCAATTCAGGGTCTGGACGGGACTGGCCTTGGACTCTCTGCATGGTAACTCTCCTTTGAAAACAGGAAAGCAAAAACTATTAATGGAAATTTCCTTTAAGAAATTTCAGAAAAAAAGGGAATTTCCCTTGTGTATTTAAGATTCCTGGGAGACTTAGAAGCGTGTTCTTATCACAGCTTTGCTTTGTCCTAGGTGCTTTGCTTACTTACCTCATTATATTCTTACAACAATCCTGTAAAGTATGTACCGTGTCATTTATCTCCATTGTACTCAGGTGGAAACTGGCTCAGAGAAGTGCTGTGACTTACCCAATCCGAACATGTCTGGGTGGTTCCAGAACCCATTCTTTTTTTTTTTTTTTTACATCTTTATTGGAGTATAATTGCTTTACAATGGTGTGTTAGTTTCTGCTTTATAACAGAGTGAATCAGTTATACATATACATATGCCCCATATCTCTTCCCTCTTGCGTCTCCCTCCCACCCCTCCAGGCGGTCACAAAGCACCAAGCTGATCTTCCTGTGCTATGCAGCTGCTTCCCACTAGCTATCTACCTTACGTTTGGTAGTGTATATATGTCCATGCCTCTCTCTCGCTTTGTCACAGCTTACCCTTCCCCCTCCCCATATCCTCAAGTCCATTCTCTAGTAGGTC